CTGTCAAATGTGGACAGAATTTTTTAGATTTCTCTGGATGTTAACCGTAGTAAGATAGCTATGGAAATCTCTTGCTTTTCTTCCTCACCACCAAGGTAAGTACCTTACAGCCTCTGATACTGATGGCTCATTGTGCACTGTTTGTTCATTACAATACATGATCAGCCTCTGAATCTCTTGGCTAAATAACTTCTTAAAGCTAGTATTAGTACCATCTTAGTGCTATACTGCTTGCAGCTTATTAACAGGTTTTTTTTGTTTGGAAGCAACTCAGTCTTTATACTGAGTAGTTAGCAGTGTAAATTCTGCATTTGATCGTAGTTTAGGAGAAACATAAAGTAGCAAAACATGTTTTCTTACACAGTTATCCTCTCCTTTACAGGCAGTTGAAGATGTGTATGTACCAGTTGTCACGTTTGAGTTTGATGGCATAGAGGTAAGCATTTCTTTTGCTTTTTTTTTCTTTAAGTGAGTAAATTTTTTTCTTGCTTTGGAATAGGGTAACTTTTCCAGGGACCTGTGACTGTGCTATTTTGGACCACAACCTATCCCAGGAGAAGACATTGCAGTAGAATGGGAGCTTATAGGAAAATAAGCTCCTAGGAAGCCTGGCAGGCATGGGAGCATCAGAGGCGTCTTTTTCTAAACCTGTGCTGTAGACCAGGGTAGCCTGCTTGAATAGCATTTATCCCTAGGATCGTGCAGAGTGGGAGCAGAGGCGGTGTCCTTGCTAAGTCTTCTTAGCTCTGCCAAGCTAGGTACCTACAGAGGGATGTGTACAGTGTAGTTCACTGTACGAATCATGTGAGCAGACTAAATGTTTTGCTGCAAATCCAAAATGAAGTGGTCATGGGACAAACAATCTGGAAAATGGAAAGTAAAAGTACTCATTTGACTCCTGCCTAGGTTTGTCAGCTGCAGCAATCCTGCTATCTTGAATACCTCTTCTACAATGTATAAAGACCTGCATGCTGTAGTACCTAAGCAAGTTACTGCTTGGTATCACTATCATGAAGACATTTATTCAGTTACCTTTTTGTGGCTTTTATCTGGTACAGACATTCACAGAATAATTTTCTTGCCTCAGACTCTACTAAAAACCAGATACTTCGGGATCAAAAGGGCTTAGTGCGCAAAGAAAATGCTCTCTCCTTTGCTGAAGTATAGTTGAGGTGATAGAACTTATGTCTTCATTCTATGATTAATTTTAAATTCCCTTTTCATTCACATTCTAAGTCTAGAGTAATCTTTTTCACCTTAAAAAACCCTCTTCCTTTCTCTAGCTTAAAAAGAAAGGGGTGTTGCAACGATGGTTTTGTACATAAAATATGGAACCTCTAGAATTTTTATTGAGTCTTCTGGCCAATAAATCTCTTGGGAGATGTTTCTATAGTCACATAATTCTAAATACAAATGTTAACCACTCTTTTTAGGCTTGACTAACTGTCCCCCACTAGTGTTCTGTTTGCAAACTGCATGGCATTCTAACGGTTGGCACTTTTTTCTTCTTAAGATTGATCTTGTGTTTGCAAGACTGTCTGTGCCAACTGTTTCTGGTAATCTTGATCTCAGAGATGACTCACATCTTAGAAGCCTGGATATAATATGTATACAGAGCTTAAATGGTAAGCATATTTACACATCTTTAAAAAGAAAATGTTACTAAAATTGTTATGGAATGCACATTACACAACCCAAGTTTCTGTACAAGACACAGAAACTGATCCCCTGTATACTTGAGATCTGAGGAGGTGGCAAGTGAGCTTAAATTCAGACGTTTCAAATTGTGTGTTTAGATAGACCTGTGTTTCATGTTTCTTTGATTGGGGTGTGTGCATTGTTCCAGTTTGCCACAGAAACTGCTTCAGATGAATAGGTAGAGCACTTGATAGAGAAGAATGTTGGTAGTTCATTAAAAAAAAAAAATTAAAAAAAAATTAAATACTTGAAGCCTGACTTGCTCACTGTTTAACACTGACTGGTTTAATTGTTCCTGGCTGTCGAAAGAAACCTAGGTTTTGGAATCCTGTAGAAGGGCCTTATTGAAAATTGTTGGCTGTAGTCTAAAGTATGAAAAAAGCTGTTGAGGGCACCAGTTACCTGACGTGATACTGAATGTTACGTGTAATCTCTAATTTTTAAGGTAATACAAAGCAAGTAATCCAAACTTGTTTTCATAGGCTTGAAGGATAAACTGTAAGCTATTGATACAGTATAGCATAAAACCAACTTGTACCTGTTGCTAGGAAGTTCTGTACTTCAACTTTTTTTCTTAGAGGTTGCAGAGTTAACTGATGAAATACTACACCTAGTGCCAAATAAAGAGAACTTCTGGCTCACGCTCTGTGCAATTAAACTGTGGGCAAAACGTAAGTAATGTGATTGTTTGTGATCTTTAAACTTCTCAGAGGCATCTCATGCTGAAAAAATAATAGCATTAGAAGTACTTCAGCTTTGGATAGCTGTTTAAATAACAGTTTTTAGTTTAAAAACTGTTTTTTAGTTTAGATTCAAGGCCTGTCCATGGGGTAGATTCTGTGTGTTTTTTAATGGGGGTAGAGTGGGGAGAAGAGGGGAGTGCCTACGAGACAAGGTGCTGCATGGCTTATCAGGAACCTGACTACAAAGGATAAAAATGCCAAGTGAAGTATAAAAGCTTGATACATAAGGAATAAGAAAATACTGTTTGCACATGTGACTAGAGAAAGTGCTAGAAGAATGGCAGAACCTTTTTCTTAAGGGAAGTTGGAGTGAAGCGGCAGCTGTAGCAGTGCAGGCAAATTTCAGAGTAGCAGTATTTTGGGAAGTGGTGTGGTAACGACTCTTTTTCTCATCGCTATAAGGACCAACAATTTTGGCCTCATTGCACTGTGAAAATAACTGAGTTTGAGACTGAAATGTACTAGGTATTCTATAGATTGTGAAGTTGGTACTGTAAATTTGAAGGAATATACTTGGATATTGAAAGACTACAGGCTAACGACAGTGTATCCATTGTAGGATGTGGCATTTACTCCAACATGCTGGGATTTCTTGGTGGGATTTTCTGGGCCGTGCTAGTAGCAAGAACGTGTCAGCCCTATCCAAATGCTTTGGCTTCTACTCTGGTTAACAAGTTCTTGTTTTTTTCAAAACCGTAAGAGCTATTTATGACTATTTTAATTTGCAGAAAGTAGTTACACTTTTTGAGGTAGTTCTTTATATAAGATTTACACCAACAACATTCAATCCTACCCTGAATTACATGACAGAGTTCTAAATGGACAGTTAGTTACTGGCTTTTCTTATATAGGGAGTGGCCAAAACCTGTATTGCTGAAACATGAAGAGAGCAATCTTAATTTACCAGTATGGGACCCTAGGGTATGTAGACATTGAATTCAGAAGCCTTTAAACTTTCTTCTAACCTAAGCTGCTGGTGCTGAGCACAATTGTTTTAACACCACAGGTGAACCCATCAAACCAATATCATGTAATGCCTATCATCACCCCAGCCTATCCACAGCAGAACTCTACATGCAAAGTATCTATATCAACACGAGCGGTAATGGTAGAGGAGCTCAAACATGGTAAAGTTCTTTCCATGCTTATTAACTGAATAAAAAATATAATTCTTGCTATATGAAACCACATTATCTGAATTGGTTGTATTTCGCAAGGTGTTTGCCCTTTTAGGCAGAAGAGTTCTCTGGGAAGTATACCTGTTGCAGGCAATAAGTGACCGGTTTTACAATGAACTGTTGTAGTAGACCTGCGTTGTGTCAAGGGAATTCCTGCTTTTTGATCTGTCAATTACTGTTCAAAACCTTTATAAGATAAAGTTTTTATCATGCTCTGCTAGTCCCCCCCCCCCAAAAATGGTAATAAGGTTTTGAACCTTACTTGTAGGTCTTGCGGTTACAAATGAGATTCTCCAAGGAAAATCAGACTGGTCAAAGCTCTTTGAACCACTGAACTTCTTTCAGAAATACAAGTATGTATGAAATCTGTTATCTGAACTTGAAATTATTTACTTACTGGTTAGCATAGTGAGTTTTAGCTTGCAGTCTCAATAGAAGGTGGCATTGATGTTTGTTTTTCAGAAACTGGAGGTAGTCATATGAATTTTGGTAAGGATAAGTATAGGGAAGATAGAAAAACTGTATGTGTTATGCCACTGACACTGCTTTTATTTAAAAAAATCAACTCTGATACTTAGAATGTAGCAGAATGCAATTCAGAAGGATGTAATCAGCTTTTTCTTCAGTTAATACTGTGCTGAATGCAGGATATAATCTGTCTTGTCTGGAAGACATATTCGATACATTTAAGGCAGTTTTGGTTTCACTTGAAGGAATATAAAGTCCTGAGCTAGGATATTAATTTTTCTTTTCTTCTAGACATTATATTGTGCTGACTGCTAGTGCCTCTACTGAAGAGCATCACTTAGAGTGGTAAGTCTTGCTTCGAATGTGGGTTCAATACATAATTGACACACACAGCCCTACTTTGAAGACCACTGTTGTAGAGCCTTTGAAGACTTGGTTTCATGACTTTTTTACTGGATGTAATATTTAATTTAAGACTACATTGCACTTGGTGCTAAGTTGCTCTCGTTATGTAGTCAGCCTATTCCAGAGCCTACATTTCTCCAGTGAAGTGAAACAAGGCTGTTTAATCTGGGTGAAACCTGACCGTCTGCACAGAGCATCTGAATGCTGATAAATAGTATTTACTAAGTTTTAATCTTGTAGTGTGCTCAGGCATCTTATGTTTAGTGCTGAAAATTATCATTTCAGCACACTTGGTAGTCAATAGGTAAATTGCAGGAGTGCTGATCTACTTTGTGAAATGTAATGTGAGATCCACTTCAGTTGTAGTTAGAGAAAATGACTGCTTATGACATGATATTTGTCAATGTCTCAAGGGATATATGCCAATAATAACTTGTTTAACCTATGTGAATGAGCTGACTAACTGTGAATCTTGAAATAAGGGAAAACGGTGAGGAATTAAGGTACTGTGATGTGTGTGGTGTTCTCACTCTTAAGAAGTGAGTACTTTACCTGCTTTGCTCAAGTAAGCAAGCAAAACAGCTCTGTGTAATAGAACCCTGTTCTGAGGGTACCTTGGTTATACTTCAAAGTTTGACTTGCGCTTTAAGGCAAATAATATAATTCTTGTGCTACCTCTAAAAGACATCTTATTTCATGTTTAAAAATAGCTCTAATAGGTAATACCTTTTACCTGAACTTTTTAACGTGTTCACTTAAAAATCATATCAACTACAGCTTGATGTCAGTGGCAGTTAGATGTACAACAAGGAGTTATGGGCAGAGGGCTTAGAGCCCAAATAGTTTTTATTGTGAAATGTTTTTAAGTGAACAAAGCTTGTTGTATCTCAGAATAAAGATGAGAAAAGTTCTGGCTCCAGTAAAAGCTGATGTTTTTGCAGTGACAGAAATGGCAGCAAATGGGGTTTAGTTTTGCATCTGGGAAAATGAAAAGCAGAAGATAAACTTGCTTCAGTTTTCTGTAAGAACAAGTTTAGTTCACCAACTCTTGAATGGATTTGGGAATAGATGGCACATCTCTGTTGTTCATCAACAAAAGATACTTTTGAAAACTTGCAGAGTTCTGACTGCTTTCAAAGCTAGCAGTGTTTTAGGTAAAAGGGTAAAATGCCAGTACTTCATTTATATGAAGAGCCTTTGTGGTCATGATACATTTCTTGGGTAAGTTTCTGATGAGACTGTGTTGACTAGGTAATTTGTTTATTAAAGGAACTACATTTTTCAGTTTGGCTGGAAAAGGGTAAACTCTTTTCACAGATCAATCTGCAGGAAGAATTGCATCTTTACTCAGGTCTAACTGAACAGTTCTGCTTGAGCCTTTTCAAAACTGTTCTTCTCCTTGATCTTTGGGGTAAAAAGGAGTTTTGCTGCACTTCAAAATGCAGCCAGAGGTGCTGGGAATCTGCTCCTTGTTGATATTTTCATCATAGGCTATGTGTTGAGGTGTTGTATCTGACCTGTTAAGAGTACAAGTTAAATTTATTTACCTCTGTCTTTGGAAACTTTAAAGCTCAAATGTCACTGGAAACATCTCAAACTACAGTGCGTGTGATATAAATATCTAGTATCTGCTCAGCTGAATGAAACTTACTGACCGGTTAGTGTTTTTGTATTAGCATTGTATTGTAAAAAGGTATATAACTACTGTGCTGGATACAGTTAAAATGAGTAAATGTCTCTTGTTCTTATTAGGATTGGCCTTGTCAAATCTAAAATTTGTGTGCTGGTTGGAAACTTAGAGAGGAATGAATTTATATCTATTGCTCATGTAAAGCCACAGTCTTTCCCTGGCAACCGAGAGCTTGTAAACAGTGGGTTTCATTACTTTTCTGAAATCCAGTTTGGCCAATGTATTGTACCTTGTTTATATTTATTCACCTCAGCTTATCTGTGAGAGAGGTTCAGTTATGTACCTACTGTTTTGTAGGTATGAGGTCTGACAGGCAAGGCTCTGAGCATGTGGGATCTTTTTAAAGAAGGGAGAACATCAGGGAGGAGTTCTTGGAGAACTTAAGTATGGGCTGACTCTAATCTTTAACTGCTGCATACAACTAAACTGTTTTGCTTAATCCCTTCTTGAGAGTAGATACTAGGATCCAAATAACTGGCATCTGTGCTTAAATGATAAATTTGTGACTCTGTCTTTTTAGGAGTGGATATGTGTCAATGTGGTTTCTTGGAATCGTATTTAGGAAAGTGGAAAATGCAGGAAGTGTTAACGTTGATTTAACGTACGTTATACAGTCGTTCAAAGATACAGGTAAGTCTATATTTTGCTCTAGTCTCGTAGGGTTTAATTTTTTTATTCTAGTGCAAGTTGCTTCACAAAGTGAATTGTGCTTCCTTCTGGTATTAGCTATTAGATATTTCTGTAGAGTGTGACACATAGAAGATTAGCCTTAAAAACATACTATTTTGACACTTTGGCAAAGTAAGTCCATCTTGAAACAAAAGTGTGTACTACAGTCCTATACCATATGTGAAATAACAACTCTGCAGATCATCGTAAACACTCAGAAAGGAACTGCGATTCATGCGGTAGACAGTCAGATGTGAAGCCAGGAGACGTCCAGTTGTCAGTTGTTGAACTTTGAAAGTGGGAATTAACTGTATCAGACTCTAAAATAAGTTGTTGATGCCTCTTGAGAGTATTTTTTCCAAAATAACAGTTTGTGTATGGTATCATCCCAGAACTTTGAAAAGCAGTGAGTGGTCGCATTGTAATGACACGCAGTCTTGCATGTAAAGCTTCATGTTCATCTTCCATTATTACTTTTGATAGATGTAGAAATAAAGTAATATTGCAAGTGTTGTTAGATAATGCTAGAATAAAGGGGTTTGGGGGCGAGCAGTTCTTTGAAAGTATAGGTCTTTTCCACAATCTGTTTACTTCTTCCCAAGCTGACTGCTCTTGTGCCTTTCAGAAGTGCATGTGTGCTGTCAGGCTCATGCCTAGCTATCATAATGACGAACTAAGGAAATCAGGTTACTCTTCTGAAGTGACAAGTGTGTTTGGACAAAAAGCTCTAAACAGTGGACTCCTTTAAACTCTTCATCAGTGCAAACAAACATTTATCCATGGTACCAGCGTGAGCTGTGTGTTGTGTTGCTCAGACAACATGAGTAAATGCAGTAAAAGCTGACCTTTTTAGCTCATGCTTTGGGATATGAGAAAAGCACAGAAAAAAGGCATCAAAACTCTTGTCTGAGTTTCAAGCCGGGGGGGTGACTTCCTCAGACTTGCACTCTTCGCTGAACTGATGCTTGTCTTGTATGTTAGATCCAGTGGCGCTGTGTTTCAGTGTTGTGGTAAATTATGTCAACAAGGTTTATGTACCGCCAAGAGGCTAGAACTAATGTTAAATCCTGTATTTCTATGCACAAACTTTATTAGCATAGCTGTGTGCTCTTAGTTTAGTGAAGCACAGCCTATAGTATGTTTCAGATACAGGGTTTGAATCCAGAGAGATTGAACAGAAAAGGTATTTCTTGAGAGGTGTGATATGCTTTGGCAAATGTGGGAGTGACCAGTAGTTATGTGCAAGAAAGCTTTTATCATATGCCTTGACTTTGAGAGAATATTTTTAGAGGGCAAAGATTAACTTCAAGTTGATGGGCTCAAGAGTAAAAGGCTCACTGTTTGGAAGGCTTTTGTTAAATGAACTTTATCTCACTTTTACATAAAAATATTATTGAATTTACTTTGAAGCAACTGTTCATATTAGTGTGAATATTCATATTTGTGCTTTTGTTTCACTTCTAGGTCTCCTGTAGAAAGACTTATAAACCTTTTTGGTTTTGTTGCATGTCCTTACTTTGATTCCCACTCTGTATGTTAGTAAGCTGACTTTCTAGTTATGATCACAATAGGCTTGTTAAACTTACCTAAATTTGACTTAATTCTGTAATAACTGCTGTGCTAGTATAGCATTTTTCAGTTGCATAAAAGGTTGTTTGCAGGCAGTTAAGAAAAACTGGTTTAAATTGTAGTGGTTCTGATAAGTCAGATGTCCCTAAAATCCAGTCTTTCTTGGACAGATAGAATTTTAACACCTAAATTACTGGGAAGTTATATGATGTCACATAACTGTTATGAAAAAACCCACAATCACTGCTGTAAATATCAAATAAAATAAAATTAGTCTGAATCTTGAGTAAGGTGTCTCGTCTCTCATCAGCTGTGCACATTTGGGTTGATTTAGAAAGTTGTCTAGATCTATTTTCAAACAGAAAACTAAGGGTTAAGGAGTATTATCTCCTTCAGGTTAAAAATCAGCTCAGATGTGAGCTGCATGATTTGCAAACCACAGCTGTAACTGAGCACATAAATGCACATTTGAACTTAAATAGCTGTTATGTATCTGGTCTGTACTGGATATGAAATGGGCATCTTAGGTCACATTCATCTTGAGGCAACTTCTTGTTCTTTGTTTGGGCTGGACAGACTTAAAGGCTTGCTGTTTCTAAAGAAACCATATGTAACTTTGACAAATACCTAATGCAAACATTCCCACTAAGCTACAACACTAAATTTTCTGTTAGTTTACAGCCAGGCTAACAACCTCAATGTGCTAAAGGAAGGTATGAAGATTGAGGCAGCTCATGTGAAGAGAAGGCATCTCCACTATTTTTTGTTACGGAAAAGAAGGTATAATAAACATTTGGCTCTTCTGGCAATATTTTTTTTTTTCTTTAATAATTACTTGAAGACTTCATTATTTTGATGTTGTTGTTTCAGCAAAGCATGCCAGGTACTAGTCAAAATGCTGGTGGGCTTCAGCGCAAAAGGACTTCTTCAGATGGAAGCTGTTTGGACAGTTGCAGAGACATGGACTCCAGAACACCAGATAATTCCTCTTTGTTACATAAGGTTTCTAAATTGGACACTTCTACAGCAGAGAGAGAAAGCTTAGCACGATACCCTTAAAACTGTGAAGAAGCTGCTTTTTAACTGACTCACAATGTGAATGAGGTCCAGGATTTCTTGTTTGAATCTATGTTGTTCATAAGCATGTGGGGGGCTCTAATGGCTTCAGGAACAAAGCTGGCATCTCCTTTGGGCACATGGGGGGAGACAGGTTAAAGAAATCCTTGAAAAAATTAATTTAATGTACATGAACACATATAGGAAGAAAGAAGAACTTGATACCAGAGAAATTATTTGGTCTTGAATATAGATCCCCTTGGGTTAGTGTGTAACTTGAAGCCGGAATGTTTTATATGTAGGTAACTGTTCTTTCTAACAAAAAGTATGGTTACTGCCAAGCAGTATTATTTTCTAATTAAGTGCTGATCTTGATCACAGAAATGCTAGACTTGGTGCAGCAGTATGAGAACTCAGGCAGTAAAAGTGTCTGTCACTTCCTGGGAAGTCTGTTCACAGGCTACTTCAGCACAGGAGGAATATGAAATCTTGAGAGTAATAGCCCAAGACTACCAAATGTGTAATGCTTGCTGTGTTCAGACCATTTGGTACTGTAGGAGTAGCATTAAAAAAAATAAAATTGAATGCCTGTATGGGTAGAGCAGGTACATTCATGAAAAGTGCTACAGAGTGCTGGATATACTAAGATGGAAAACAGTACAAGTACATAGAGACTCACTGAAGAAAGTGCTTAAGTTTAAATTTGTGGTCTGAAGTTCAGCAAAATAAAGATCTCATGCTAGATTGCCTGGGAATTTGTTGTTTTGTGGAGCTGTGACAATGACCTAAGAAGATAGACACTTGTCTTGCATGGACTTTCTGGAAATGAAATGTGTAGTATTTACAAACTAGCATTTTAGAACACTAACATCTGATTTTTTACAGAAATGCTGTGTATCAGAAATCTAATGGTACTAACAACAGAGAGAAGATACCTCGTGTAGTTGTGCCATCAGTGTCTAACGAACTGTCCATTCCTGTTACTGATTCAAGTATGTATTGAAGTAGTGGGTGGAATGCAGTCTTTAATTTCATGGCTGAACTCTAAAAGCTCGGTGTCTCCTGCAGAAATGGAGGCTACAGTTGCAATAAGAACATTGGGACCTCCAGTTGGTTGCACCATTCCAGGACATAACACAATTTCTCAACTCGGAGCACGTTTTGTCCAAGGACAGCATGAATTAAGTGGGACTCCGATTACAGATCCTAAGAGTGCTGCACCTAAACGACCTTATTCACCGACCACTGAAGGATCTCATTCACCTACATCAGAAGAATGCCCCCAAAAAACAGTAGACAGAGAAAAGGTAAGGAAGGAGGGCTAGGCCAGGGAGGGTTTGAAGTAGAATTAATTATTGATGTACAATGAATGACATAACTGAGAAGAAATGCATATATACATCCCCAGTGGATTCAGGAATCTAAATTTAAGCATAATGATAGTTTTACTAGGATGTAGATGTGAGAAATTGTCTTGAATATACTGTATAGCTATTAAACAAATTTTTTTTTCCAAGATCTGGCACTTGACTGTTTCTGGTCTGGTGGCAGGGTCTCTAAATACCACTGTACTTGTATATTACTGCACTGACCAATTGCTGAATGAACTGGCTTATTTGGAAGCAGTTCTTAATTAAAAAAAAAATTATCTCAAAATAAAGAGGATATGAATCTTATAAATGTAAAAGTATGAGCTAATCTTGTTCTTGCAGATGATTTTTGAATGCCTATTGATAGTTTTGCTGCTTTAGGAATCAGCAGTCTACTCAATAGGTTGTCCACTGCTGGAGTCACAGTGTGGAGTTGCTTGTTAAATTTTGTTTTTGTGGAAGCTTTAGATTAATGCTTGATTTGTTTTATTGCTATACATAACTCTTCTTAAATAGCTGTTTGTGTGGCTTGACCTCTGATTTGAGGCAGGGGCAAAGAACAACTAGAAAAAACTCAATTTTAACACTTGTAAAGAATCAACTTGCAGAACTGTTACCTACTATTGAGTATTTCAAGTACAGATTTAGGTAGTAAGACTTTTTGTGAGGCTTGAGATTCCTGTGTGGTAATGGTAGTCTTGTCTAAATGTTGTTTTAAGAATGGCCACTAATACATTTAAAGTGTTGACTGGAAGCTGTACTCAATTATGAAGGTAATTTTGGTATAGCAATTATTTTGAGTCTGTGTATTCTGTTCTTCTAGTTAACTGACCAGGTTTCAGCATTCAAAGATGGTGGCAATCCAGAAGATGTCAGCAGCAGATCTACAGACAATGTAATTTGGAAGGGGTTTTACTCAGTGGACTAACTGGAAAGCTGAATGGACTGTTCTAGTGCCCAGACTACCTCACATAAATACTGTACGCATTTGTTGATGTAAACAAAAATATGCTTTTTAGTTTAACTTATTTCAGTCTTCATTTCCCAAATATATTCTTGTAAGAGTTATCCTTATTAGTCTTTTTAAAAGTCTTAACCGTCACTAGCTGAAACAGCTTTTGAAAAAGCCACAAAAACCAACCTGTCCTGTGACTTGGATTCAGAATGTATGAAACAGGTTAACTAGTCACTGCAACCATGTTGTGGTTTCAAGTGTGTATAAGCGTGCTTGTATTCATTTGTGCTTTCCTAGTGCATGTGCATATATTATTCTTAAATTATTTTCCCGTTGGGCACATACACTCCTGTGCATCTATCACAATGGTGCTCAGCTTCCTCAGCTAGTAGCTTTCCACTGCCTAACACAGCCATGCACTACCCAAGTATTGCCTCCCACGGAGGCCCATAAATAATTTAAATATTGAAGAAACTGCAGCAGAGGATGCTACCAAGGTATGGAGATGATAGACATGTCCCATGCCATTGTATCTGATTTTGGTCTTAAGACTGCTGCAGCATGAGACTTGAGGGGTTTCTTTGTTGTCACTGGGTAGTAAAGCTAAACTCAGAACACACAGCTGAAGATGTAACTTAAACACTGCAATAGCCAAGGCTGTTGTGACACTGCTACCTACTTGCAAGGTACAGTCTTGAAAGCATCTGGCATGCAGAAAGTGGTTTCAGATAAACCCTGAAAGCTGTTCTACATGGTTACATGGAAACTTGTAGTCTGAAGGTCCGGTTCTGTAAACTGAAAACACTGCTTACCCAGATAAGTGGGTTAGGGTTTTTTGAGGGGTGGGGAGAAATTCTGATCATATGAAACAAATGTTATGCTATCTGTCTATTGTAATTTCTTTATAACTTGGTGTTTTTGTAAATGAAGTTGTACATTTTTCCAGAGTATTTTTGTATGTACTGTAAAATACTGTCTTCCAAAAATAATTTTTTTTATTATTATTATTTTTTTTTAATGCACGTGGGATCTGCTTAAAAACCCCAAACAAGTAAACCAAATGTAAGGCGGGCAGGGCAGTGCCACAAAAAATATGTTCTACAAAATGATCATGTCATGGTAGAGTAAATTTGAGGAGACTAGGAACACTGCTTTCCTGCTTCTAGTATTTCCAGGTTTTGAATTAACACCCTCTGAATAGTGCAGCTTGCAAACTGCGTTGACAGCTGAAGTCCCAGTTTGCTGTGCGGACAACAGATACCCCTGACTTCTTTTAAAATTAGTTGCTTGGCTTAAACCGCAATTCTGAGCTCTGATCATCTTAAGCATCCACCTCAAACCCTAGTGACAAGACCGAAGGGGCATGTAGCTATCTTGCACGGCCTTCATTCTCCAGCATTCCCCCTACTGCTGGTATTCCAAACTTGTGGAGAAAGCATGACCATGACCATATACTTACCTTTTTTCCTTATTACCTCTGGTTTCCAGCTTGCTTCAAGTGCAATTCATCTCTTAGAAAATGTGCCTTAGTGGGTTTGAGAGGTCTTATTCTTCCTTCTCCACTCCAACCCCCCCAAAACTTAGAGTGCAAGGCTTAGGTTTACTCACAGGTTAAAATTAGGAAACAGAACCCCTGTTACTTAAGTGGCTTTTAGCAGAGCTCCACCTTGAGTTTATAAAATGGTTACCTTGGTTTTGTGACCTGTGTTAAAATCATGGTATTTAAATACTGTCAACTCTGTGTACTAGCTACAGTATGTATACAACTTCAGCACCTGTGTAAATAAAAATCCATCATGAAATTGAAGGCGTTAAAGCTGAAGTAGGTGATAAGATAAGCAGCAAAGCAAATATGAAAAGTAAGTGTTTTTTAATAGTCTACAACCCTGTAATATTACCAAGCTTTTAAACCAATTCTTCCACTTGAGTATTCCAAGACTGTTAAAGGCTGTTTTGCCCTTAACCTCTAGGTCAGCACATGCATTTATGCAACTAGTCTCAAACTAACCTAGCTAATTGATATCAAAGTATATGCCTTTACACGGATTTTTTTTTTTTAACTCTTGCTTT